CAGAATTATGGATGATTTCACTTGCCCCAGTCTGTGGTATTTAACGCTTTCAGTGTTTTGGGTATCCCTATTGGGGGTACCCAAAACACTAGGGATTTGGGTACGGGGGTACCCAAGACACGGGGATACCCAAATCACTGTGACGCGGATCAACAAAAAGGAAGGGAGATTATTTTATCATGAAACAAATAGCAGGCTGGTATATTTTTGGTAAGAAATATATATATTTTTAAGCTTTATGTTGGTTTCCAGGGCCACTGTCGTTATTGTGGCACGCAACTATCCTTGCTAGTCGCTTACAAAAACATCAATTCATCAGCACATTGATTTAACTCAATGCGGACACCTAAAGAACACGCAGTAGTGTCCTTATTACTCAGGTGACCGCATCAAGCAACCCCTGGCGAAATGAACCTCGCGGGTCAGTGTAATCGATACAACTTCGCACTAAAGCAGACGGTTTAAAAGCAACAGAACGATGTTTAGTGTTTTAACTGCAACTTGAGTTCAAGAAGAATCGACCTTATGTTAATTCCTCGTGCACCAAGGTCTACAAGGGTCAAACACCGGACTGAATAACAAAGTTTTTTTACATGTCACGGTATTCTGCTGCTGAATCAAAAACGCCCTAACCTTTAGAGAGTCAGATCTGAAAATTTAGCCGTTTAATTTTTTCCTTCAGGATTACGCTTAGCTGAGTTGCTCTGTCTTCTTCATCAATGTTTATTTCAATCTTGTTTATTTCAAATCGTTTGCCTGTTGCGATAGCGCAAATGTCCTTGAAATGTACAAGGCAGTGTCTTGTTCAGTGAAATCTTGGGATGCAAACAAGGCTTTTACTGAATACTGTCACAGAAGACCTGCAAAGAATGATCAGTAGAAACAACCAAGTGCAATTCTTGCTCAAGCTGTTAATTGACAAACAATGGATCACGAAGGTTTTCGGTTGCACGCTCACAAATTTATCACGCAATCTATTTTGTGCCTTCCTTTGCATGCACACTTGATAAGTGATATCAGAACTCAAGGGTTGTAGTCATGATTACGAATGAAAGGAAAAAATATTGACAAATCAATTTTAAAATAGTTGTATGGTATACAGGGTATGTACATGGCGAAAAGTCCGTGTCGAAGAGAGCTTTCAGCCAAAGGCCCTTTTGGCCTCGATAAGGCCGTTCCAAGTCACGGAGGGCAAAGGTCCTGATACGGATAGACCAAAGCTGGGGAAATATGCATTATATTTTTTTCATCTTTAAATTGTTTGGTAGGGAAACTCAGAAAAGTTGTGATGCACAATATTCACACGCAATCGAGTGGATAACTTTAATCTTCAACTGGGGTATTGCGGTATTGCAGTATTCTCCACTGATTTGTGGGATACAGTTTGCTTGACGATAGTCAACAAATATTAGAACAAACTTCACAGTTTTCCGATCCTTTTCGGGTTTCTGGTCGTTACACCGAGAATCGACCGAGAAACAAGCTGAAACACCGTAGTCACGCGACTTACGTTACTTGAGTAAATGATTGCGGTTGATTTGTTCCGATCCTGAGGTATCATGACATTGTGTTTGGTTTTGGTAAATTGAATTCCATTATAAGTGGATCAGAGTTTATTTTTGGCAGTGTTAATCTCTTGGTCGACACCGCGACCTTCAGTTCACTGGAAAGTCGTGAAAATCATTGTGGAGCAACGTCGACTCAAAACTAAAATATTGCTGATTGTCAAAGGAACGTGTCTAAAAGTACTAATGCAAGTAACCACGAGAGAAAATAAAGTACCAACGGCCTTTTAAAAATTTTACTGCTGATATTTACTTTCACATTTACAACAGTTGTGGATAAATTATGGAGATTTTTGAGAACACAGATTTGACGGGTTCGTTCGTCTTAGCACAATATAATTTTTTGCGTATACATTGCTGTCATCGTTTTCACGTAAGTCATCACTTTCTAAAATCCAAAACTTTAAAAGAGCCACCAAAGTTTTTATCCTCATCTATCTGGAATAAGGGGCGGTATATTTATGTCTGTTTACAGTTTTACAGCTCGGTCGCGTGTTTCGTTTGGAAACCAGCCAATTTTGAATTTCAGTGACACAAAGCTACGATCGCGTTTGTAGAAAAATATATACCTATCTCATGATTTTGAGCCTTTTCAAAAGTTAAAGCATTAGGAAACGTGCTTGTCTAAATGTTAGTTTCTTCAGTACGGATAATCACTCGACAGTCGCCTAGATACCCAAGGTAAATTCCAGATGTTCACGCTATCTTCCGCCCGCCATATTGGTGTACCACGGAGGTACTATACGGGTCCGCAAACGATCCCAGGACCGCAAATGATCCCGGACCGCAAATGATCCCGGACCGCAAATGATCCCGGACCGGAAATGATCCCATATTGGACCGCAAATGATCCCGATCAAAAAATAAGGAATGGCATGGATGGTGGGATGGTGTGGATAGGGAATTGGCGTGCGTGAATACCTATGTTTTTATTAAAGCCATCTTATAATTATAATGGCTTACAACTTGATTTTTTTTGGTTTTTTTTTTTTTTTGCATACTTTCGACTAAACTTTGTTGCTAACTACGATGTTATGAATATCACCACTCATCGATCTGTACCCTTCGAAGAACAAAACAGCAACTGTGGAATATTTTTTTTGCAAAATGATAAAATATGTTGTTTAGTTCATTATTTTTGTACATGTTCTCACCTTCCTCTGATATAAATCCATGCCATTCCTTATTTTTTGATCGGGATCATTTGCGGTCCAATATGGGGATCATTTCCGCTCCGGGATCATTTGCGGTTCAATTTGGGGATCATGTGCGGTCCGGGATCATTTGCGGTCCTGGGATCATTTGCGGACCCGTACAGTACACCAATTGAAGCCTCGATCCTTATCGTTAATCCTTAAATTTGATTGGCTAATTACGCGCTGAGATATCCAACGGGGCATACCGCAGTGAGCCTATAAAGTTAGTTGTGAAGCACTGTCATTATCCCGTGCCTCAACTCTAAGTGATACGAAAGTTTTGGAAATTACTAGGTCATTTCCGAGTTGTCTTTTGCCTCTGTTTGACAGATATGTTTGATGTGTGTGAAAATGAACGAACAGATGAAACATAATTAGTACAAATATTTATAAAGTGCCACGAACAATTAATGGAATATGGTGATCTATAAATAGATTTTTAGTTTAATCTAATATGATTTTATTTTATTTTTTTAACGAAGACAAGGAGGCAGAAGGAAACATGTTGTACATCTAAATGTGTACATCAACTGCAGATTAAACTTAATAATTTAAAATGTTAGTTGGTGACCCTCTATGCAATGTCAGTCTGCATTTGTTCTTATCCTATAGGTCTGGTGTTGGTGACTTTGGCAGGACAAATAACATCTGCTCAGAGTAAGCAAGGCCAATTTCATGTTATTTTTTGCCTACAACTGCTATATTTCTATATTTGTTTGCATACATACATAGATCAAGTAGAGAAATTTCTTCTTTCCATATAACGAAATGTCCCATGCGAGAAGCCCTGTAACCACTTTACCAGAAGGTATAAACTTTGTGGGCTACTAGGCAGCTCTGAAACGCTAAATACTTTCACTTTTTTTCTCAATGATAGACTGTTCAACTGGGAACAATTCATGGCTGGTTACTGCATCAGCATCTTACAACACAACTATTACAAGTCCCAACTATCCCCTGAGCTATTCTGACAACATGGAATGTACATGGCAGGTTGAAATTGAAAACAACCTCAACTTTGCATCCGGTGGTTATGTACTGAAGGTGCTATTCAATGACTTTGAGTTGCAACAAGATCAAGACCTTTCATTGACTCGCTGCCCATTTGATAAGCTAACTTTTTATGATGGAAAATCGGAGTCTTCTCTCTTTCTTGGATCATTCTGTGGTACAGTCCACCCTGAAGTTATTTATTCCACTGGAAATAACTTGTCAATCAAGTTCCACACAGACAGCGGGATGACTTTCAGAGGGTTCAGCATTAGTGTTTCGGTGGTTGAAGCAGGTACGGAGTAGTCTAGATCTCATAAACATCAGAACCATATTCTTGTTCAGTATATTTTTAGTAAAGATTCTGGTGCAGTAGAAACATAAATTTCAGTATAGAAAAAAATCCGTCCGACTGCAAGTCTTAATAAGCCAAAAGAAATCCTCAACCTGGATGTAATTTATTTTGTGTAATTCCCCCAAGACTTGAAACCAATTTGGAATTTTAATGTGTCGAAAATTACGTGGCCTCGTGGTTAAGGCTCTGGATTTATAATCCGGAGGTCCCGGGTTCAAATCTTCCTCCCTACCTGACTAGATGAATTAATTTGCGTTCGGTGGTCCCGAATTTAACCTGACCCCTCTTCTTGTAAATTTCCAACTTCTCAGCCTCCAACCAGTTAGGATTTTTAACTAGTTTCAGTTCTACTTTTAATATTTGTTTCTCGATTTATAGTATTTACTCCAATTAGCTTAGCAGTGCTATGTCGTAAATGTCGCTGCCGCTGTGGCTTACACAAAAGGGACTTTAAGCAAATCGCCACGGCTGGTGCTGATACGGCTGCCGGAAGTAAATTTCCCCCAAAATGAGACAGTGCGCATGTACGTCGGTTGCATCCAGCCGTAGTGCAATAGCTCTCGTTTTCCGACCGCTGGTCAAGGGGAACGAAGGCTCTGGGAACGAGATTAGCC